AAAACCGGCGGGTCGGTTGGCAAATAATGGCGGATTTGCCTTTGCGGTTCGAGCGGATTAGCGGTTTATAAAAAATATAATTCAAATTACAAAACTTAAATCAAAGAGTAAAAAAAAGACGAGAGATACTGTGATGTTAAGCATCTTGCGAAGCTTTCTTCTGATGCAGCAAGTGTAGCAACAACATGATAATATCAACGACTATGTCATCATTTCATTACAAGTATCTGTGGAAGCTGCAATGATCAAATACAATACATAAAATTCTCTTCGAGCAGTAATGTAATACTATATTCTAAGGTATAGAACAACAAGCAAACTTAAGTAAAAAAGAATTTTTAGAATCTTATAAAACATGATTTAATAGCGGTGCGGGTCGGTGCGGTTTGGAAGAAAAATAGAAACCGGCGGATTGATAAAAGTGTCACTAGAATTTGCCATTTTTCTTACCAAAAACCGGCGGTTCGATTGACAAATAATAACGAATTTGCCTTGGCGGTGCGGTTCGGTGCGATTTTGACGGTTTCGGCGGTATTATGCACACCGCTAGGGACAAGAATGAAAGGAAAATAAAGTGCTTATACTAGAAACGACGTCGTCAACTGCTGAATGCTGATTTTCCCGTGCCTTTTCGGCATCGCTTCCGAGTAGGGTTTTCTATAACTTAGCTTGAGTTTTCTTATATACGAAGGGTAAGTGGATTCTCTCATATATATATATATATATATATGTATGTATGTATGTATGTATGTTACATATATGTTGATTCTGCAAAATTTAGGGTTCAAAAGTCTTCAAATTTGAGTTCTAAATCTATCTCTGGTTCTATATCAATTTGTTTATCACTTGCAGGCAAGGCTTTGTAAGAGATTGATTGAGAATGGCAACTGAACCGAAGGCAGCAACTGAAGAGTCCAAAATCGACCTATTCGAAGACGATGACGAGTTCGAAGAGTTCGAAATCAACGAAGGTAAATCCTTTTTATTTCAATCAATGGGTATATTTTAGGTAATAAAGTGCTTTGATTGAAGTTTTCTTTGGTTTCTTCTTAAATTTATGTGGTCAGTCAAGTTAGTCTCTCTAGCAATGAGAAAAGCATACAAGGCAACAACTTGTTCCTTGTTTAATTAATAAGATTTATATCATAATTAATTACTATTGGTAATTCCTTTGAGTTTTGGGGTAAATGTGGGGGTTTGGGGCATGGAATCTGTGTCTACTGGTATTGGGATTGGGTCTCTGTCAGTTTAAAGTTTAGACAAATATGGAACCCCAAGGGGTTTTGGCCTGGTGGCAAGGCCTTTGGTCTTGGGGTTGTGCTCCCTTCAAGGTTCAGGGGTTGAAACCTCTTAGGTGCTAACAATTCCTTGGAGCCATCGGACTAGAGGAAAACTCTTGAATTAACCATGGTGCACTTTGGGAAACTCCTAGCCAAGAGCTTGTGCACCCTTGGGATTAGTCGGCCTTTGATCCGGAAACCCCGGTGCCAATGAAAAATAAAATAAAAAAAGTTTAGACAAATTTGGGATTGGTGAGGACAACTAGGTAATGGGTGATGGGTCAATGCATTTCAGTCAAGATAGTGTAGTGTAGCCCAATGATATATATTCGTGCTTAAGTTATATTTGCTTATTATACACTAATTGCAGTTGTGTATGTGTAAATGATTCAATTGATCTCTATTTCTTTTTCTTAATGAACTGAGATAACTAAATTTATACAACTATTTCATACAATGCAATATAGATGTCATTGTGCATTCATTATTGGTATGAGAAAAAAAAAAATTGAACCTCTCTCTTGGAGGTGATGCATCACATCAGTAGGTTGTTTTGAATTGAAGTGAGGGACCTTGACCCTTCGTTGCGTGCGGTTATTGCATTTGTTCGAAATTATCTGCTTCTTGTAAATTAAAACATTTGCAAATGAAGGAAAATGATTAAAGAACCAGTATGGCTTAATTTGAAGAAGCTACATGTTAAATATGCAAGTAACTGTGATACAAAGGCACATACGACTGTGTATAGGATAAAACATTTAAAAAAAATTAAACTATAAAGGCATGTGGGGGAGTAGTTGGATTTCTTTTTTTTTTTTTCCCCCTGTTGATTGCTGGCTATCAAGGTTCTTAAAAGTGGTCATGGTCACGGTCATGGTCACCGTATTGGTGGCGGTGATGCGGTTGCGGGGTGTAAATGCCATAGCGTAATGGTTGCAGTAACCGGAACCGTGAATTTTTTTATTTTTCGCACATACACATAATTTATTTTATTTTATTTATTTTTAAGAATCATATTTATTAGATTTTAAAATAAATTTTGATAAATTTTTGTTAATTTTTAAGTATGATCCAATATATTTCATATTTTTAAATCACTATAAAATGTTTTTTTGTACATTTTATTTCAATAATTAATGACTTTATATGTCATAAATCCATATTACACTTGTGGCAAAAATTTCTTTTATTGGACTTAGATTTATAATTTTTTTTTAATTCTTATACTTGTGGAAGCATATGTAGATTTTAACTTAAATAGTTTTAAAAAGGTATACATTCTTAATGGAAGAACCCAACAAAGTATATAATATCATATCACAATTCACAAATGATAGAGATTACATTTTACATAATGTTACTACTAAAATTACATAATGTCGCCACCAAAATTAGTGACGTCGTGCATTTTAGGATTCATATTGTTGAGCTTAATTGTTGCGGCTACCTTCACCCCATTCACTAGGAAATATATAAGTGAATGTTGCCATCATGTCATTTGTTTATGTTTGGTGCACTGGGAGAGAGAATGGATACCTCGACTGAAAAAGATCAACCTACTTTTCTTGGGTTTGTAGATAATTTGGCAAAGCGTATCTTGGAGGACCATGTTGTTGAGGGGGCAAAGGATAATTTTGTTGAGGTAGGTAAGGATAGCTCTGGCTATCACTGCTATAGGATGGGTAAGAGTGATAAGGGTAACTCAGACTAATATCAGATGAATTAAACTGTTGTTCTCTGCTTCTTATTCTTCTTTCATCCCTACGTGTATCACTACTACGAAACCATAGGATGGGTAAGGGTGATAAGGGTAACTCTGACTAATATCAGATGAATCAAACTGTTGTTTTTTGTTTCTTATTCTTCTTTCATCCCTACGTGTATCGCTACCACGAAACCTCCAAGGTAGTTGGGGTAAAGGTGCAATAGGTTCTCCAAGATTATAATGTCCTCTAACATCGCATAATCCAAATATTCCAATGAAATCTTCACTTCCTACACCAAAACTAGGACCATCACCATCACCATCACCAGCACCATCACCGTCACCGTCACTATCACCGTCACTACCATTGTCGTTGCCACATTCACTGTGAGAAGCACCTCCTCCGTCACCATCATCACCTGCTTCATCAGATAGTGTTAAACCACCACTATTGTCACTTGTGCGTCGAGCTTGATATCTATAGGTGCCACCAGCATTGTTTCCATCTCCGCCATCTCCGTCATCGCCGTCGCTGTTGCTGCCACCATCACCATCATCATCATCTGAGACCAAATTTAGCCATTTAGAATTATCTACACCATCAAGTAAAGGATTTTCCCTTTCTTCTATCCACGGACTTATTGGGTCATCTTCTTCAAATATGTAATCCAAGTTAATAGGATTAAAGCTCCTATCATATCTCCTCTTGGCTTCTTCTTTTAATGTGTCTCAATTTTAATCTCATGTTGTAGGTGATGAAGATTAATTTTTGGATTTTCTTATATTTCAAACTATTCCGCGTCTTCGTATGGATGTGACTAAAAATACTCTAATTATGTTTACAGCATAGTTGTCAAATCGGGATTCGAATCGTGAATCGAAATGCCATGTACCGAATCGCGAATCGAATCGAATCGTGAATCGTAAAGATTCACTTACGTTTTCTAAATTACATAAAAAAAAATATTTATACACTTAAATATTATAAATATGAAATATTTAGATTTAAAGTAATAAAAATGTTACTTTACATGATGATCACGTGGCCTAAATAGGTAAGACGCTTATATGGCAAGAGATGTGGGTCCGAGCCCCACCGTGATCTATCATTCTGTATTATATTTATGTATTTATGATATAATTTATGTAAATTCACATCACAACATATATGTATGGCAATCCACATTCATTATAATATGATTCTATGAATGTATGATCATGAATAACGTTCACAACTTAACAAGTTCTAAACTTTTCAAAACTCTAATCTATACTTGTAAAGTAACTTGTGTAAAAAAGAGACCATACAAAACAAAAGTTAGATTAGACAAAGTTAAAAGTTCCAAAAAGTCTTCATTTCTTCATTTCAATCTTCACCATCTCCAAGGTCAATATCATCTTCATCATCATCTACCATAGTCACTTCATCAAACTCTTCTTTCTCTTCCTCTTCCTCTTCCCCTTCCCCACCTTCAATCAATTCAACTTCATCATCATCTTCAAATACTTTTCTTTTCCTCTATCGGTGGCATTTAAATTTCTTGGTCCTACATTAATAAAATTAAATAAGGTTATGAATGAGCAAGTAAATGTGAAAATATAAAAACTAAATCTTTGAAATTAACTTATTTAAAAATTAAAATATAGAATTATACCTCTTTTTCTCTTTTTGCTAGTTGTTCCTTCATCATCTTCGAAACACTCTTGGATGTCCATCCATGAATGATCTTCGGGTAGACATGGATCTTCTTTCTCGGTAATCCATTCATCATCGGATTCCATATCCGATAAATAAATAGGATCATAAGTCTCACCCCTTTCTTGTCTCTTAATTTGCCTCAACTCAAGTTGAATGTTATACTTCACAAAAACCAAAGCATTCAACCGTTGTTGCTCCAACCGGTTTCTTTTCTTCGAGTGCACATGATCAAAAGTGCTCCAATTTCTCTACAAGTAAGACTTAGCACTCTAATAGCTAGCTTTTGAAGCTCTTTGCACTCTTCTCCGTAACTTTCCCACCATAGAGCTGTAATTAAATGATAAAGAGATGTTAGAGAATAATGCATGCCATTGCCAACATAATTGCTGTGAAATTGTGAATATATAATTTCATAATAAAAAATTTTACCGGGTTGTTTCTTTTCCCTTGTCAAGATGGCCATGCTCATATCAAACATACCCTCGGCCTTCTTGAACTTTTCTAATTGCTCATCAACCTTCACTCTATCCTCTATATCCGGATACATCCTCTCAATGGTTTTAAATAAATCAATTTTCACCTCCGTATCCGCAGTGAAGTTTTCTTGATAATGAAACCTAGAACGAAAGATAAATTCATAAATAAATTCCATTACACATTTTGTATATAAGTCACACAACACAACACAACACAACACAAATAATTAGACAAAAATAGTAAAAAACTTACATCGGATTAAGGTAATATGCCGCCGCATGCAAAGGCCTATGGAGTTGTAAATCCCATCTAGTATCAATAATTTCCCAAATGTGCTTATATCTACCCCTCACATGATTCAAGTTTGAAGCAATTTCTTCCTTCGCTCTATCCATAGCTTCATAAATAAACCCCATTGCCGGCTTTGCATCACCATCCACAAGCCTCAAAATTTTCACCAAAGGGAGCACACACTTCAAGCAATACTTGATTGCTTTCCAAAATCTAGCATCTCCCAAGATTGTTCCTTGTGCCTTTTTTGCATTAACAAATGTAGAATAGCTACTTCTAGCCCACTTTTCCGATGCAAACATAGCTCTAAATTGGAGCTTTCTATCTTGGAAATTTTTTAAAGTAAGGAAGGCGGTGGCAAATTTAGTAACCACGGGTCTTGTCAACTCCCTATTCTTTGTAAATTTTCTGAACAAATCAAGCACTCAAGCATGCCTATAAATTACACAGCGATTTCCTTGGCTTTAATTATTATATCTTTGAAAACCGTCAACTCACCCATGTCACTCAACATTAAGTAAGGCAATGTGCCGCACATGGGGACCAAAACAATTTAGTCCTCTTCTCTTCCAATAATCTACTGGCACCCACATACGCCGATGCACTATCGGTTACCACTTGAACCACATTTTCTTCACCAATTTCATTCACAATGTCATCAAGCATCTCAAATAATTTCATAGAATTTTTAATTACATCGGAGGTGTCTATTGATTTACTAAACACCGTTCCACTTGGACTATTAACAAGGAAATTAGTAAGAGAGTGAGACTTTCCATCGGTCCATCCGTCGGACATTATAGTGCAACCCGTCTTCTTCCATTCTTTTCTATACACTTCTAAACTTGCATTCACATTATCAACCTCTTTTTTCAAAAAAGATACTCTCACTTCATGATAACTTGGTGGTTTCAATCCTACACCATACTCACCAACCGACTTCAACATCTTTTTAAACAAGGAGCTTTTTATTAAATTAAAAGCCAATGCATGCCCATAAATGACTCTACAAATATCTCTAATCACGGGCTCCCTTTGCTTCATCATTTGATTTAAACTTTGTTGCTTTGCCCTCCCCTTTGTGACATACGCATCCATAGTTCCCCCTTTACTTTTCCCCTTAATATTTTTTTCTTCAAAACAATCAACATCTATAATATTGTCTTGTTTTTTTCCACTTAAGAGTTGTAAAAACATATTCATAACATCTTCAGAAACTTGACTACAAGCTTTATTATCAGAATCTTACGATTCACGATTCGATTCACGATTCGATTCACAATTTTTGCAAAATCGATACGAATCTATGGGTGAATCTATTTTGGAAGTGAATCTCTAGTGAATCGCACGATTCATAATCGATTCACGATTCGATTCACTTTTTACGATTCATGCAATTTTTGAAATTATTATATACGACATATTTTCGACTCTTTTTTTCTCCATCTTTTTAGTGAAAATGACATAATACAACTTTTAATAGCGTTTAATACCAAAATAACCAACATATATACATGATTTATTGTTATTTTAGTGATCATGGAGTTTTTAATAAGATCCAGTTAGATTCAGTTAGATTCAATCAGAATCAACATATTTTTAACATTTCTTCCCATTTTTTTTCTTTTTAAAAAATCATAATATATCTTCTAAAGATGTTTAAGATTAAAGTCACACTATGAATTATCTATTACTATTTTATTAAATTGAATATTACATGTGTGAGGTCAGTTATACTTTTTAAAATGTTTTAGGCTTTGAAATAAAAGATTCTAAATAATTCCTTCTTATTATTTGCTCACTGTTACTTAGAAAAGTATATATACTTATTGTCAAAATATCAACATTGTTGTTAATTATTGTTACTTTGGAAATTGATAGTTTGTCTATTTGGTTACTATCTTTATTAAGAATGGCTGATAAGAAATATCTAAAAAAGAAAAAAGGCAAGATGGTGATATTACATCTTTATTAAGAATGGTTGATAAAAAATATCTAAAAAAGAAAAAAGGTAATATAGTGATCTTACATAGGAACCTTTGTTAACTTCTTACCTATTAAACTACGTGATTATTATTCAAAATAACATTTTTATTGATTTAAGTCTAAATATTTTATATTCATAAGATATATTTAACATCTAAATGTGCAGATATATGTTTTTAAATAATTTAGAAAAAGTGACCGAATCTTTACGATTCACGATTCGATTCGATTCGCGATTCGGTACAAGACCATTTCGATTCACGATACGAATCCCGATTTGACAACTATGACTACAAGCACCAACATTATTATGAGTTTCGGCTAAATGATTTTTCATTCGAATCACACCACCCCAATAATCTTTTCCACAATAATTAGATCTCAAATGCATTCTATTATCATCTTTGACACGGGTGCAATGGTCCCATGTCGGATCTTGTTTCCCACTTTTTTTTTTGCTTTTCATAAAAAAAGCAAAATATTTTTTTAATATCCCACCCACACAGCAGCAGCTTCAGTGCTTCTACTGTCCACAATAGACAATAAAGTAATGGATACTTCTACAGTCCACAACACAATAGACAATAAAGTAATGGAAAAGGAGGAGTATACAGTGAATATAGTATTTTATATTACCTATATGAAGTTTGTCTGGTAATACCTCAAACAAAATCGAAGACCCAAGAGATGACTAACTTTCATAAAGCTTTGAAGACTATACGAAGGGCCACGAAGCAGATTCTAGCAGCAAGGGACCACCAAACAGTGAGAAGAGGGACCGCAAAGCTCTGCGTCGAACAGAGAGGTGAGTCTTTCTAGGGTTTTGTCTGTTGGGAGTAAAAAGAGACCATGGGTTACCTTGGTTGTCGTTTGGTCTTAGAAGACTAGGCGATCCATCTTGTGCCAAGAAAAAGCTAAAAAAATGGGCCAAAAATTGAATTTTTTTCATTCGGGTCCAAGGAAATTGGGTCGACCCGCGATTGTAAGGAATCGTGCGATTCAGTGATTCTTCAATTTGTATCGTGAATCGATCGATTCAGATGCGATTCTGCACCATTTGCGATTCCATGTACCTGTTCGAATCGATTGCTATGTGTATCAAACCGAATCGTACGATTCTAACAACAGAGGTTTACAGTGAGATGATGTGGTGGTTTGGCTTAACACTTTCAAAGCTATTTTTTGAAGTTCAGGAGTACAACTACCATGAAGAATCCACCACTCAGCTGCATAAAATTACATTACATTAGACATAAGTCAAATAAGATAGAAAATTATTTAAGTATTCATGTATTGTAAATTTGTAATTTTGAAAATAAAACCTGGATTTGATTGTTTCCATGCTTTTTGTGCTAAAGTAGTTTCAAAAGTTTATTGTTTATCTCGAAACAGCAACAACTGCAATTTGTAACAACTACTAGAAGTAACATTTGCAAAAGTAAATTATTATTATTAAAATTTAAATAATTGGTACGTACTTTATTTGTTGCTTTTACTTGAGCATCTATATTAAGCTCCAATCCGGTAATTATTTTTTTAAGTCCATCCGTCATTTCTCTTATTATTTCATTGGATGGGGTAACACCATATTGGAATTGAGGATTTAGAAAATATCCTTCAAAAATAAAATTATAATTAGTAATTGAAAGTAAATATACATGTTATAATTGAAATCGTAACACTTACCAGCTGCATGCAAATCTTGGTATAATTGAAAAAATCATCGAGTATCAATAATTTTTCAATACTCAGTGTAGTAGCGACAATCTCTTTAATTGCCAACTTTGCTATATCTATAGCTTCATATATGACACCCATTGTTGGCTTCTCATTCCCATTAACCAACCTTAATACTCTCATTAGTGGCTCATGAACTTTACAAAGCTCTGTTGCATTCTGCCAAAACTCTTTTCCCAAAATAATTTTTTAAGCCTAGTCCTTGCTTTCCCCCATTTAGAATTCTTCCACTCATCACTATTAAACATAGCTCTCAATTGTTGTTTATAACAATACTCTCAATGGCAATAAAATTTGTAGCAAATCGAGTGATGACAGGTTGAATCATTTTTCTTATCTCCTAGGAATTTTCTCATTAAATCCAACACCCATCCATTAATATAAATGAAATTGGTGATGGTTTTACTATCTTCAATCACCTTTGCTACACTTTTCTTATGGACTATGTCTTTTAGCATAAGATCAATGCAATGTGCCGAACAAGCTGTACAATATAAATGTTCCTTTTTCTCATCAATATTTTTCAGTGGTGACTAATAATGAACTTGCACATTGAAAGCTACCAGTAAAATGTTGATGAGAAAAAGGAAACATTTATATTGGATTGTTCGGCACATTGTATCGATCTTATGCTAAAAGACATAGCCCATAAGAAAAGTGTAGCAAAGGTGATTGAAGATGGTAAAATCATCACCAATTTCATTTATAATAGTGGATGGGTGTTGGATTTAATGAGAAAATTCATCGGAAATAAGAGAATTGATTCAACTTGCCATCACTCGATTTGCTACAAATTTTATTACCATTGAGAGTATTGTTAGATATAAACAACGATTGAGAGTTATGTTTAATAATGATGAGTGGAAGAATTTCTAGATGGGGGAAGGCAAAGACTGGGCAACCTTAGAAGGTTTGAAAAATTATTTTGGGAAATGAGTTTTGGCAGAAAGCAACAGAGCTTTGTAAAGTTCATGAGCCACTAATGAGAGTATTGAGGTTGGTTGATGGGGATAGAACAAAGTCAACAATTAAAAGAGATTGTCGCTACTACATTGAGTATTGGAAAATTATTGATAATCGATTATCTTTTCAATTACACCAAGATTTGCATGTGCCTAGTAAGTGTTATGATTTCAATTATAACATGTATATTTACTTTCAATTACTAATTACAATTTTATTTTTGAAGGATATTTTCTAAATCCTTAATTCCAATGTGGTGCTATCTCATCCAATGAAATAATAGAAGAAGTGACGGATGGACTTAAAAAAGTAATTACTAGATTGGAGCTTAATGTGGATGCTCAAGTAAAAGCAACAAATAAAGTACGTACCAATTATTTAAATTTTAATAGTAATAATTTACTTTTGCAAATGTTATGATTGTCACAAATTGTAGTTGTTGCTGTTTCGAGATAAACAGAAAACTTTTGGAACTCCTTTTAACACAAAAAGCATGGAAACAATTACATCCAGGTTTTATTTTCAAAATTACAAATTTACAATACATGAATACTTCAATAATTTTCTATCTTATTCTGACTTATGTATAATGCAATGTAATTTTGCACAACTGAGTGGTGGATTCTTTATGGTAGTTGTGCTCTTGAACTTCAAAAAATAGCTGTGAAAGTATGAAGTCAGACCACCACATCATCTCACTGTGAACATAATTGGAGTATTTTTAGTCTCATACATACGAAGACCAGGAATAGATGGAATATAAGAAAATCCAAAAATTAGTCTTCATCACCTACATGAGATTAAAATTGAGACATGTTTAAAGAAGAAGCCAAGAGAAGATTTGATAGGAGCTTTAATCCTATTAACTTGGATTACATATTTGAAGGAGTTGATCCAATAAGTCCGTGGATAGAAGAAAAGGGAAAATCCTTTACTAGATGGTGTGGATAATTTTGAATGGCTAGATTTGGTCTCAGATGATGATGATGGTGGCGGCGGCGACAGTGATGGCGATGGCAGTGATGGAAATGATGCTGGTGGCACCTATAGATATCAAGCTCGACGTACTTCTCAAACTCAACTCTTACTGCAACTCAAAGTGACAATAGCTGTGGCTTAACACCATCTGATGGAGGAGGTGATGATGGTGATGGTGGAGACGCTTCTCACGGTGACGGCGGCGGCGATAGTGGTGGCGGCAACATTGGCAACGATGGAAATGATGGTGGTGGCACCCATAGATATCAAGCTCGACGCACTTCTCAAAGGTCAACTCCTATTCCTACTCCAACTCAAAGTGACATTAGTGGTGGTTTAGCACCATTTGATGGAGGAGGTGATGATGGTGACGGTGGAGGCGATTCTCATGGTGGCGGTAGTGGTGGCGATACTAGTTTTGTGTAGGAAGTGAAGATTTCATTGGAGAATTTGGATTATGCGATGTTGGAGGATATTATAATGTTGGAGAACCTGTTGCACCTTCATTGTTGGCAGCGGCGGCGGTGATTGTGATGGTACTAGTTTTGGTGTAAGAAGTGAAGATTCATTGGAGGATTTGGATTATGCGATGTTGGAGGGCATTATAATGTTGGAGAACCTATTGCACCTTCATTGGAGGATTTGGATTATGTGATGTTGGAGGGCATTATAATGCTGGAGAAATTGTTGCAGGTAGGGATATATGTAGGGATGAAAGAAGAATAAGAAGCATAAAACAGTTTGATTCATCTGATAGTAGTTAGAGTTACCCTTATTACCCTTACCAATCCGATAGTAGTGATAGCCAGAGCTGTCCTTACCTACCTTAACAAAATTACCCTTGGCCTCCTCAACAATACGGTCCTCCAGGATACGCTTTGTCAAATTATCTACAAACCCAAGAAAGTATGTTGATCCTTTTCAACCAAGGTATCTATTTTCTCTCCTAGTGCACCAAACAAAAACGGACGACATGATGGTAACATTCACTTGTATATTTCTTAGTGAATGGGGTGAAGGTAGCAGCAGCAATCAAGTGCAACAATCTGATTAAAATTTAAAGTTGAGACCGAAGCGCCTATGCTGCATTCCAAACAAGCAAACAAGGAATGAGCAGCCTTGAGCTATGGGGTTTCTTGTTTGTTAATGAACTCTTATTAACCATCATGAGATTTGGTAGGCTATGGATAGGTGTTTTTGGTAAACAGTCGCCGGGCCTGGTCATTGTGTTTTAGTTTTCAATCCAAACCCTAACCCTAATACCTTCCCAGCCACCACCCATCACCATCATTTTCGGCCGCCACCCCCTTGGCCTTACCCCATTCCTCGACACTGCCCATCCCTTCTCAAACCCTAACCCTAATACCTTCCCAGCCACCCATCACCATCATTTTCGGCCGCCACCCCCTTGGCCTTACCCCATTCCTCGACACTGCCCATCCCTTCTCCAGCCTCTTCTGTCCCTTCCCAGAGTCTTCAGCCCCTTCCTGCCACCCCCTAGACCCCACCCTTGCGGTCCTTGCAGCCCTCTCACTATCTAGCCCCACTCTAGCACTCCCAACCCTCTTGTGCCACTCCATTAACCCACGTTAACCCCCCCCCCCCCCCCCCCCCCCCCCCCACCAGAGAGGGGGGTGGGGGTTGCAGGGATAGGGGGGAGGTTAGAGAGGGAAGGGTGGTAGGGGAGAGTGGGAAGGCATTGCAGGTGGTGGCCGGAGGCAAAGGTTAGGTTAGGGTTTCAAATTTGTAGGATGAGAGTATAATTGGGATTAGGGTGGGGAGCAATTTAGGGAAGTGGAGGTCCAAAGATAATATGTGGGTGTTATTAGCAGCACCTATAGTTATTACACTACTTTTTGTGAATTTGTCAAAGTTAACACTAGTTGAACCAGCTGCGTGGGATTTTCATGATTTGATTTTGATTCTCATTATTAAGGCCAAGTTTGGCAAGTTAAGAAAAAGTCAAAAAGTCAAAAAGTTATCAAAAAAGTAAAAAGTTATCACTATTCACCAAAAAAAAATATAAAAAAAATTAATATACAAATATACCTATTCCAAAAAAATCATTGTCCGTCAACCGTACTGACGTCAAACTCCACCGCAGGTAAAGAAAAAAAAAAAAACATGTTTACATTCATTAACTTGGGTGGTGAAGTTGGGCCCGTGGGGGTCCACCATGGGTCCCGTTTTGATAATCCGAACAGTTCAATATGTAGAACTCGTCTAGTACTATATGCCTGTAAAAAATCACGTCTATCATATATCGCTAACTATATGATCAAATCAGTTTTGTATAAAAAATGTCAAAAAGTGTTATAGTTAACAGCTAACAAAAAAAACTTACACGACCATATAACTATTGATATCCAATCAACGTGATTTTTTACAAGTATATAGTACAAGTATATAGTACTCGACGAGTTCTATACATTGAACGGTTCCGATTAGGAAAACGGGACCCGTGGTGGCCCCCACAGGCCGAACAACACCTTCCAATCAAAGCCCCAAAAGGAGGTAATATTTTCCCATGTATTCACCCAACCGATGCACTGCCATTCCGTACGCATACTACACTATTTTCTCCCACACACTTCATTTATACAATTTTTTAATATACATTTTTTTCATAAAAAGTCAAAAAATTAATCCAAACATTTATGGCCTTGTTTGGTTTGTGTTTCTCAAAAAATTTTGGGAAAAATTCTCTACAAATAAGTTTTCAAAAGTAATCAAGCCAAACAAATTTTTTCAAATTTTTTTTTCAAAACTCGTTTGGTTTACAAGTTTTCCAAACAAATCTCTCTCACATACACATCAAATCAATCACTTTTTCCAAAACACTCTCTCAAAATAATTTTTCAAAACGTCTTTTGAAAAAAACTAAACCAAACAAATTTTCGTACTTTTTATCTCAAAACATATTTCTCAAATACAAACCAAACAACCCCTATATTTTTTTCCTCAACTTTTTAGTCCAAAAAGACAAAAAGTGCACTTATTTAGGACATCCCAAACAACTCCTTTACCAGTAGGTGATGCTAATTTTTTTTTTTTTTCTTCCTGTTTCTCCTTCATAGTAACGTGAGTTTTAAACTTGAACTTTAATGATTAATTTTGTGAGTCTTATATTTTATTGAGGCAAAGGCTATTGGGACCAGTTGTTTAGTCAGATGATACGATAACTTATGCTCAAGTTTGGATTGAAAACTAAACAAATCAAGTTCAAATGAGCTGAAAGTAAGATGAACTTGAGTTGATCAGCCCCAATTGCATCACATTCACTCCGGTCAGTTTGTAAAATGTTTAGATAAGTTTGATGCAGAGCGATTTTGATTTGATAATGCTATTGTTGAAGTGGAGGGTGTGAAATTGAAGTTTTGGTGTAACATAATGCGGGGAAAGTGACCCGTTCTGATCCCTCCCTAATGAGATGTATTTATGATTTTGGAGTTACAAGGCATGATATTTTGGAAGGACTAAAACAAATGAGGATCTAGTGAATTTAACTAAATGATGAAGCACAAATCTAGTTACTCTTGTATACAATTTATTAACAATTCTTGCTAGGGAAAACATCATTAGTCAGCAGAAACTACATGCCTTGAGTTGTTGTCCATTAGATAATTAGGTGAAGACTAAAAATTATTTGAACCCTCTGGTAACTCCAAGTTTGCTTTTCCATCGGTCTCACTACCCAAGTAGGAGAATGAGCTCCAGTCCCTATCATCTTTTAAATAGATTAATATACGTGCCTGTGTGTGGCATAGCCATCACAAAAACATGGAAGGAGATTAACGAAATAGTTGTAAAAGGGACTGGTTGTATGATATAGTTACATTAACCTCTCTTCGTGCTGTGAAATGATGGGGGATTCCCCTATGGTGCATATGTATAGCCAGTGCTTCCAAGTTCCATTTTTTTGGCACATTTGTCATTTTTCTCTTGTTGTGATGTTGAAACTGCAGAGCCTGTGATTCGTTTCATATCTGTAGCTATGATGTATTTTGAATGATTTATTTTCTAAAACGATGACAATGGCAGAGTGGGAGGACAAGGAAGAAGGAAAAGAGATAATGCAGCAGTGGGAAGATGACTGGGATGATGATGATGTCAATGATGACTTCTCTGTGCAGCTGAGGAAGGAGCTGGAGAGCAATGCCGAGAAGAACTAAGTCTACATACTTTGTCATATTTCTCCTTATTCTGTGCACTATGGCATTATACTATTTGAACTTTAGTTTCCTCATATGAAACTTTTTGAAAAATATTGTATGAATTCTATTTTGGACTACTGAACTTTTAAATTTAGAAATTCAGAACTTACCTTTTGAAGTATGACTTATCCTGTGGATTAGGATCTGTACCTAGGGTTGCATATTTTCATTGGTTATGTCACTGATAAACAACCGTGCCTTTGGGGGTGTTGTAGAAAGACTGGATTGTGGATTAGGAGTTCATTTGAGAGTGGTGGCACGCATCGATGACACTTGAGACAATGGGAGTGACTAGGTGAGAGACAGAGCAGCTGGAGTTCAGAGCCTATTGTACAAGGAAGACATCTCAAGAAGATGATGTTTATGTAGCGTGTGATGTAAGAGAGTACTACTTTTTATTTATAGCAGGTGGGGTCATGTGACCATATCAAACTATTTGGATATTTCAGGAATTCTATTAGGATATATCAGTGTATTAGTTAGGATTTTGTTTTGATCCTTGGGATTCTGTCACAAGTTAAGTTGTGTGGTCTCTTTTATAGTAGAACTGGCCTAAGGCGCAGTGGGCGAAACCTGTCTCTAGCCACCAAGCTAGAAGACCCCAGAGTCCTGTGTTTCATACCAAAGACTTCAGGATACCTATGACTGGCCTCTCGACCTAGATATATGAGAGTGATATGGTACAACATCCTTGACAACGAGATAAGGTCACTTGTCCCAGTTAAACATTGTAACAAGTGTGTTGTTGGGTTCATGATCAAATCACACCGGTTCAACACGATTTCCTCAAAGGTTAACATGTACTGGTTGGTGGTGTTCATGGGTTGGATCGAGTCAGGCTATATACATGCCACTCGAATCGACCACTTCGGGTGAAACAGCAAGCTATCCGATCTCAACTGATTATGTATTTGAAACCAGATATATTCGGGTAGGGAAAAAATCGGGACGATATTGAAACAGACCACTCATCTTCTTTCACAATCCTCAAATAGAAAAGCTTCAATTCCCTACATCTTAAAAAAAAAAAAAAAACTATAGTGTGTGACGGAGAAACTGAGAGGGGTTTAGATATGATCATCATTGTTGATTTAATCGTCGCTGTCACTTGAACTTATCGACGTCGTTTGATCTCGTCGACTGATTTCATCATCGTCATCATCTGGCTTGATCTTCGGTGTCATCGATGAAAGTTGAGAGAGAGGTCATCATCTGACTTGATCTTTGGTGTGATCGATGAAAGTCGAGAGAGAGGTTTGACAATGAGAAGGGGAAAAAAGAAGTAAGAAGACAATTGAGAGAGAACGGAGAAGAGAAGAAAATACGAGTTTGAGAGAAAAAAAGTGGCAGTGGAGGAGCTCTGAGTGATTAGGCACAAAAGAGTGAGCAAAAGCATCTGCAATTGTTTACCATTTTTTTTTTTTTTATCAAATTCGCGTAA